GTGACAATAATAAAATCATTAAATTGTCACATTTCTGAAGTGTGACAAAATTGAATGTGAGTCAAATCCGCCCATATTAATATGTAAATAATTTCTTCACGTTATGAAATTAATAATTAATAATTAGTAATTTTTAGAATAATCAGAAATTAATTTTTTTGAAATCCAATCAAAATACAAGTGCAAATTTCCTTTTAAATGGGCAATCTTTTTTTTTTTATTTTTTTTTTTATCAATAAAAAAATTTTCAAAAAAGAGATTTTATGGTGTGTTAGAAGAATACTTATCTTCGATGTGTAAGTATATGTTTTTTAGTGAACTGAAAAGAAAAAGTATTTTCATTATTATCCACATATTAAAAAAAAAATTTTTTTTTCCCTAGTTCAATAACTCAAGATGTCGTTAAGAAATTGATTCTAACACGCGCGCACACACACACGTACGCACACATTCACACAGGTAGATTGTACGTGCAGTAAATATTTTAAATGCACCATTTTATTTAAATACACATCAAACCTATATTTTACATTCATTTACATTCATTTAACCACGTTTAAATTTATTTTTTACCAGTGCTACCTCATACTTGCATGCGCAACTACCTGCCCGCGTACACACCTATCCATGTCGTACCATGTACGCACGTACGCAAGTATGATCACACCACCCGCGCCCACCATTACAACTTTCTTAATCCCTTCATGACAATAGGTGGTTCATCAGGAAATTTTTCTGACGCGGATTTATGTAAGTTTACGGCGGGCCCGTAATATTATGCAAATATTACAACTTTACATATTAAAATTTACGGACGTAATATTGCGGCGGGGAAAATTTCCTGATGTTATTCTAGCTTTTCAGCACCACCAGGATATAATGTGATCGAAGTTTACCCACTCAACAACCCACTTTGCATCACATTTTGGACTCCCTCAGAGTCCATTAAAACGCCCCTGGCACGTACACCTCTGTACGATCCACTCGTGGGGAGTGGCGGCATCGAGGTCACTGCCTGCCAGGCTTGAAGGGAAATTTTATTAAATCTGACACCTAAGCTGAAAACGTCAGATTTATAATCTTAAAAAGTTCGCATGGTCTTAGTATTCATTACTCGGATAATGCACTTTACTGTTTTGCCATAAAAATTTTTCTTTATGGTAAAAAAAAAATACTACACTATCCGGAAAAAAGTATTTGGACACCTATTTACATTAATTACCCAAAAACATACATAATAACTATATATAAAGTTTATATCATTTTATAGCTTAAATATTCATGTAAAACTTTATTTTTTCAGTTTATGTGAAACTTTAATAAATAAAAAATACGAAAATTTTTTGAACAAAAAATTGTTTATCAAAGTGCTCAAAAACCCACATAATTATTATTATTCGTAAAATATATATTATATTAAACCCTTAAATTCAGAGAGTATCTATTATGTTTAGTAGTTCATTTCGATTATCACCAGGAAATTTTTTAGGGGATAAATATATTTATCTCAATAAAAAAATCGAAAATTAATGAATAAGATAATTTTCGATAATTATCTTACGATATTTAGCATCATCAAGATAATTAACGATAAAGATTATATACGAAATTAATCACTAGCAATGGTCAATATTAACGGGCAATTTGTTGGTCCATGGTTTACAATCTCACAATCCTCCCCTTCTTTAAATTCATCGTCACGATAAATTATTTCTTTTCCATCTCCCATTTCTTTTCTTCCTTTTTTCCTTTAGCTCCAAGTTCACTTGACCTTGAATTTCCAATTTCCTTTCGTGTTTGATACAATTCTTTGGCCCATTGATTGTCAGATTGTTTGCTTATTTCCTTCATGTCTGTTTGATTCTTGTTATCGTGTAATTATATACTTTCCGTTTGTCTCCTTCAACCACTAGAATTTGCACTTGTACTAGCCGCACTCATAGTACTTAGTTCTTCAAGTATTTTATTGCTGGTTTTCTTTCTAGAGCTATTACAATTAATTTATTCTTCATAAATTTTATTTCATCTCTCGATTTTGATTCATTGTACAGTCTGCCCTTGTTTCAACGAAGTGGCTGGACATATAAGAAAATTTTATTCAACATTCGTTGAAACAAGATTACTAATCGCGTTTCAACGAATTTTTATATGTTTTCATAATGTGTAACAAATTTTTTAAAAATTCGTTGTATCAAAAATTTAATTATACTTCGTTGAAACAAGGTTCGTTAAAACAAGGGTTCACTGTATGCTAATAAATTAACAACAAATTGTTTTTGTTGTTACACGAATTAGAATTAATTTTCAAAACAAAAATTAATTTCTTCGTTTTTTGCGCTTTCATTTATGTTTCGTCTTAGTTCTTTTTTTAATTCAAACATGCTGTTCTACTAATGCTCAAAATTCTTTCTTGCCATTTAATTACAGTTATTCTTTATCGACATTTTACATTTCTTAATTAATTGTAATTTATTTTTACTTTTCTTTATAACGGTCTCTTTTTTTTAAATTTTTTCTAGACTTTGTTTTGCAAAACTTTGATCCTACAACGATCACTTATTTTGACGTTTTTTGCTTCTTGCATTATTGTATTTGTTCTTCTATCAAAGATCCTATTATCCTTTCGGTATCCATTTCTTTCTTTATTTCCATTCTTTAATTAAAACTTTCCAAATGTATTATTTTTAAATTTTCGTAGGTCCAGGCCTCCTTTTTTTTTCTTGAGCTATTTTCCGAAAACTCGTTCTATTTGAATTGAACAGGTTTATCTAGCCTTGTGCTTTGTGTAGATTTTGTTTTGCTAATCATAATGACTTTGTGCAATATTTCGGTAATTGAATTTTCATGTTTATTCATGTTCCGTCTTCTCTCCTAGTACTAGGATACTTTTTCCATGACAGGGTGTCTGATCAATTCTTCCGTATAAAAAAGTCGAATTTTGAATTTTCGAATTTTTGAATTTAACTTTTTTGAATTTTTGAATTTTAACCTTTTGTTATTAAAATTTTTAAAATAATTTCCTCGATCTATTTTTCGTCATAACCTTTCTTTAATGCTTCTTTGATTCTAAAAGTATAGTTTTTAGTTATAGTCTTACTTGAACATTTCGTTGATTTTAAAAGTATAATTTTCTTCGTAGCCTTTCTTGGACGCTTCTGTATTCTAACAGTATAGTTTTTAGTCCTAACCTTTCTTGATCTCTTGTCCCTTATCCTTTACTACTATCACTAGTTATTCTCAAGGTACAGTTTTACTTCGTTTGCTTTTTTATCTCCGGAATTTTATGTCTAGGCTTCTTCAGCATTAATTATATAGTATATGATAATAACATATAGTGTCTTTCGGTGGTTATAGTATTTACTCTTCCTTTCGTTTGGTGGCTATAGTGTTAATGCTTCCTTTCACCTTTATCCTTGTTTTCAAAGGTAATGTTTTCTTACCACGTATCCCGTTTCTTCCACTTGTCGTCGTCGCCAAAATGCGAGCGAGTAAATTCCAGTTACCAGCTCGTGAAGTGTCCAATAAATAAATAAATAAATATATAAAATATAAAGCATAAAGTCCAATAATTATAAAGTTACTTCGTCTCTGCACACAGCTTAGGAGTTCTCAATACTCAATTCTTTCACTAAGCCTCCGTCTCTGCACACACAGCTCAGGAGCCTTTTCAAAATACTCTATTGCGCAATTCTTACTGTAGTGCTAATGCTAAGCACTACAGGCACACAGCCTAAGATGATAAAATAAAAAAAGAATATATACAAGAAATATTTACAACTATACCACTTGGGGCGTCCCTACAAGCAACATAGAACAATCAAACGGGGGGGGGGGGTTCCTAACTAATGATCAAAGATTGTCCAGAGAATTAACCATCAGAGAGGATCATGAAACAATTCACAATGGCTTTTCCTCTTAACTATGCAAAAATTCGTAATGTGTTTATTTAATTATTAACAACGGGGAGGGGGTAATTATTCAATTGTTATATGTTATTATGAAAGAAAAATGGGACAAATGTTGAAGAAGAAGAGCAAAAAGGTGTTAGGTTTTAATAATTTAGTTAAAAATTTGCTAAAATTTTCTGATTTTTTATCTGTCTTTCTAATATCATTTTTGCTAATATAAGACTTTTTTTAATATTAGCGAAGATAGAGAAACAACTGAAGAAGAACCAAATTATGATTCCATTATTTTATTAATAGTGGTTCAATTTATTTATTATTTATAAATTTAATATGATTACTTTATTTTTACTAATTAATAATACTTACATGATATATTTAGAACTGAAACTAGTAGAATTGGGTGTTGGGATTATTTTAGTGTTGCATTTAGTTATACTTTTATATAGTGGCTAATTAGTACTGTAAAAAATTTAACATTAATAAATGCAATAAACATCACTCAATATTAATCAATCATTTTAGTTAAATTTCGATTTTGTTAAATTTCAATAATTTATTCATATCGATTATTAATAATGTATTATGATGTTGTTAAGTTATGATGTTGTTAAGTTATGATGTTGTTAAATTTCGATGTTATTAAATTTCGATGTTGCTAAATTTCGATATGATTAAATTTTGATAATTTCTCCATATTTATCTATATCGACGAGGGCGATTATTATCGACGTATTATCAAATGGATTTTCATCGATATATATCCCCTTAAAAAATTTCCTGATGATATTCAGATTTTAGAAAAGAACTTGTTGCCATTAATTGAGAGGGATTCTGATGGGAGAGGTTATTTTTTTCAAGATGATAATGCACCAGTTCACACAGCCAATAATGTTCAAATTTGGATTCAAACAAACAAAGTAAAAATATTAAAAGAATGGTCGTCTCAATCACCTGGTCTTAACCCGACTTGAGTGAGCCAGAAAGGAGATTAAAAATCATCCAAAAAAATGCTAGTGAACTGGAAATTGCACTGAAAGAAGAATGGCTGCAAATTCCTTATGAAAAAATTACATACACCCATTGAAAGCATGCCAAAAAGAATTGAAGCATGCATTTCTAATGAAGGATGGCCAACTGAATATTAATTTTTTTTTTCAACTTTTTGATTTAATTTTACGATCAAAATGAAAAAATTTTGGTTGAAATTCGTATTTTTATTTATTTATTAAAGTTTCACATAAGCTGAAAAAATAAAATTTTACATGAAAGTTTTTCAAAACCTAAGCTATAAAATATATAAACTTTATGTACAATTATTATGTATGTTTTTGGGTAATTAATGTAAATAGGTGTCCAAATACTTTTTTTCCGGGTAGTGTATATATTATAATGACAAACACCAATAATAATATATCAGTCAATTATGAATGTTTATTTGTTTTTTATTAAAAAAAAATTTTATTTTGTAAAAAAATTCTTTTGTTAATATACAACATTAGAGGTTTAACGTAGAATAAGCTTTTAGTAATGTGTTAAAAAATATTATTAATATATATGCAGATCGTGTGCATTTATTACTACCCTGACAAAAGTTTGTGAACGATGTTTTTCGTTAATTACGCAAAATTCTACATAATATAAATTTTAGCATTAGATAGCCTATATAGGTTCTTGTTCGTTTTCATATAAAATTTGGTTTTTTTATTTCTAGTACTTTATTAATTAATATATTCCTATTTAAATTCTTGCCTATCTTGAGAATCATTACCTCGTAACTCTGAGAATAGAATGATCTGTGTTTGTTTGTATGTCAGATCACGGTTTTTTTGCGTGCAACATTCTTTTGTAAAAAAAAAACCTTCGTATTTTGTATTCGCTTAACATTAAAAAAAAAAAAATCCGTTTAAAAAAAATCCTTTGTATTTTCATATTCGCTTAAAAAAAAATCCTGCTACTGATCATTAAAATTATTTTTTTCTACCTTTGTTTTGTTACTATTATTTAACTTACTATATTTTTTTTTAAGTAAATCTTTTTTGAGATCATCCTCTTTGTGACTTAAAAGACTTAGTTGATTCTTTTTAACTATTCTTAAAAATTTTTAGTCGTTAAAATTTTTATTCTTATTCAATTTGTTCAGTAAAAGAATAAAAATTTTTTCTTATTCGGTAAAAAAATCTTTTAAATTACAAAAATGGTTTGATTGATTTTTTTACAATGTGGAGATGGTACAACTCGTGGGTTTTCTAACAATTATTCTTAAAAAAGATTATATAATCCACAACTTTTCTTTTAATGATTCTTTTATACCTTTGTTTGTTTAAAATTAAAATTATAAAGGGTCTTTTCAATTATAAAAACAGTTTGATTAAATTTTTTTTGACAGTTGACAACGTGGGGATAATGCTAATGACTCGTGGTTTTTTTTGTGGCTGCGAAACATCACTTTTATCACCTTTTCGTTTGTAAAAACAGTTTGATTAAATTTTTTTTTTTTGACAGTTGACAACGTGGGTATAATGCTAATGACTCGTGGTTTTTTTTGGTGACTGCGAAACATCACTTTTATCACCTTTTCGCTTGTAAAAACAGTTTGATTAAAAATGTTTTTTTTTGACAGTTGACAACGTGGGTATAATGCTAATGACTCGTGTTTTTTTTTGGTGGCTGCGAAACATCACTTTTATCACCTTTTCGTTTGTTAAAACAGTTTGATTAAATTTTTTTTTTTTGACAGTTGACAACGTGGGGATAATGCTAATGACTCGTGTTTTTTTTTGGTGGCTGCAAAACATCACTTTTATCACCTTTTCGTTTGTTAAAACAGTTTGATTAAAATTTTTTTTTGACAGTTGACAACGTGGAAGTAGCTTGTGTTTGCTTTTGTAGTAACTAAAGATGGGAACCGCAATTAGCTGCAATTAATTTTCGTATGCCGCAATTAATTGAGGAGTAGTAATGGGATTAAAACTTAGTTAATTAATGAGTCAAAAATTTATATATAAGATGTTTCTTTAAATCAACTCTTCCAATGTAAAATATAAACTATTTTTTAATAAATAATTGAAATTGAAATCCTAACTTCCCAACATAATAAAAAATGCCTACAAAAATTGATGCTATAGTATACATAACTGATCATTCCGAATCACCAGTAAAGAATTATTTTTTAGTAGAAGCCATTGGAATTGGTAGACCTACATATCAGAGTGATGAAGTACCATACCAACTGGTAGGTCTTTACCCAAAAGATTCTTCAATATCAACATCGTTGGAAAGGTTTTCAAATGGTGATGTTGTTAGGATATCTGGCAAATTCACGATTTTGGATAAAGATTCTGTACATTATATCAAGGTGACTTTTTGTAATATAGAACAAACAATGATATGAAATGCTTGACTATTGTGTTTGTAAACTAAAAAAATAACGTTTTATTTAGGTATTGTTATCAAATGTTAATGTTTTACCAATTGAACCACAAAATTTGCCTAAGGTAGACTTTTCCATTTCGTTAATGGCAACTGTGACAGACAACCCAAGCAGCAAAGAAAATAAAATCAACTTCACAATTGCTGCAAATGAATACATGGACTCACATACAAAAACGATGAATTTTAACACCTATGTTCATTTGACTGAAGGGCACCTCATAAAAGTAGCAAATTCTGTCACTCGTGGAAGTGAGATATTTGTTGCTGGCAACCTTGAATTATTGGAACAAGGCCTGGTTGCTTTGCACGCTACTCAATTAACAATTATTGCTACTACTACATCTACAATAATATCCAATCAAAAAAATACAAACTATGCTTGGGCTGGTAGTAGCAAAAATTCAAAAAGAACTAGAAATTCTACAAACAATGAGTATGTGCCAACAAATAATAAAATTCCGAAATTAGCACAGATTTCAGTGAATAATGTAAACAACTCAAGTAATAATGAAGAAAGCTCACCACAAGATGTGTAGCTGATAAATAACCAATATTTTTTTATTTTTATATATATATTTTTTTTTTCAAACTGTTGTATTTTTTTTTTTTATGACAAAATAATGTGATATGTAATATAAATAAATGTGATTTAATAAATAAATATATGTGTATATTTAAAAAAAGTATAAAAAGTGCATTAAAATCATTTTACCTCTTGAAAGTTGTTATAATGTCATTTCATGTGCATCAGATTTTAGAATTAGAACCACTTGAACTTGGTGAAACTTTTTTTCAACTTAACACCTGTTCTACAGACAATATTGATATAACCACTACCACAAATCCTGTCCTTTCTCAAAATGTTTCTCAAACAAATTCCATGTGGACAGCATCAGAAAAATTTAAATCAATTAAACAAAAATTTGATTCTTACATATTGTATCAACATCCTTGTGTCCCATGTTCTTATTGTGGTCGATTACTTTACCCTCAAAAGGCAAATTGGATTCAACGAAGAGAAAACTTTGAATACCCTTTAACTCAAGCCTACCCAAATCTGAGACTTGTCACAAATCCAAATCCACCTGAAGATCGAATAGCAGTATGTAGTGCCTGCAAAAAAAATACAACCAGAAATTTCCCCCCTCATTTACCTCCAATTCCAACAGAAATACAACAGATACCCCTTTCCAAAAGAAAATACCTATCCCCAATTTACCTACATTCATCACTTGGACGTACTTCAAATCTTAATATGTACTCTGAATATCGATCAATTACTGGAACTTTCAACTATTCAAGAAATATTAGATCACTTACCTTGTATTCAGGAATAATTGGTGCCTTCTTGGAGGATTATAATCAAAATAACCAAGATCACAATTGGTTTGATAGAACTTTAGTTGCAGGGGCAAATTGGCTAGCTGAAAATAATCCATATTTACGTGAATATAGAGGAACACTTGTAACAAATTCATCTGAATCTAGACCTAGACCTCCATTTCCCACAGCAACTCATTTACAAGATGATGAATCTGCTCCAGAATTTTTAACTGGTGATATCGTGGTCCCCCATCAAAATTTTCCACAAGAAATTCACAATGAAGATTCACATTATTCAAGACTAATAACAGGATTCACCCAAACTAATGACAATTCACCAATTTCTTTTAATTTCGACCATCTTGAAGCTGAAATATTTCCAGATATCTATACAATGGGCCATGGACATTATAAAGAATACAAAAATTCATTAAACAGCTACACCCAAAGGATTGACACATATGGAAAATATATAAAGCACCGATTGCTAAATATAGATTGTAGATTTCGTATACACCATTATTGGCCAGCATGGTCTTATCTACAACTTGAAAAATCACGAAATTTTCAAAATACACAAAGATTAGTAAGGCAAAATCAAATGGATTCATCTTTTCGACCCCCAACAGCAGTTG